GTCGCCACCGCCAGGCTAAAGAAGGCATCCTTTAGGTCTAGGACGGTATACCAAGACAGCGTGGGAGAAAGAGAGCTCAACCGAGTATAGGGGTTAGGGACTGTGGGGTGGATATCCAGGGCCCTTGCATTGACTTCCCTGAGGTCTTGCATAGGCCTATAGTCCCTACCCCCCTGGTTTCTTCACCGGCAACAGGGGGGTGTTCCAGGCCGACTGGCATTTCTGGAGAATCCCACTGTCCAGGAGTCTCCGAATGTGGGGCGTAATTCCCACTCTGGCTTCCTGGGACATGGGGTACTGTCTGACTCGGGCTGGCTCGGCTCCGGGTTTTAACTCAATGTAAAGAGGCAGCCGGTGTTTTGCCCATCCTGTGCCCCCTGTCTTGGCCCACGCCATGGGAAATTCACAGAGCCATTGCTCCATGCCTTCCTCTCTGCTTTTTGTGAGCTAGTACAATCTATATTCATCTGCCTGTGTCAGGGTCAGGATCTGAGTGACCCGGGGGCTGTTGATGAGATTGCCTTTATTATCAGTTATTATTACTCCCTCTTCTTCAAAATGAATTTGAGCCTTAAGCTTGGTAAGAATGTCTCTTCCCAGTAGCGGCGTGGAGCACTCAGGGATGACCATAAAGGTGTGACTCACTTGTCCTGAACCCAAATCCAATTTCTGCCGTGTGGTCCACCGATACAGTTTGGCTCCTGTTGCCAAGTAGCCTTTAATTTATCTTTTGTTTGCCAGTCTGCTATACAGAGATACTTGGTATTATTGCCCTGAGTTCAAGATTTTGACCTGTTTATTTGAAAGCCTAACTTTATAAATGTTTATCTAGTCCTTTCTCTTTTTAGAATACAAATTTTTTAATTAACTATACCATCACTCTGTTAGTCAGGCAAACCTAAATTTACATTTCCCAAAAGCCTTTAGGTTGTTGGTTGTCACAGAGCTATTGTACTTGCAAAGTCCTTAATTTGAAAGCCCTTTAAGACTTTTTTATCTTGGCTGGAATGCCATAAACAGTGAGTCATCTCAACATCAGTAGAGGAGCCAACAGAGTCAAAGTATGCAGAAAAAATAAATAGAGATAAACAGAGAACCTAGAAGACTCTACATGTTCACTCTATAGTGGCAGGGTGTTTTTTTTTTTTGGTAGCGAATTTGAATAATGACCATTTGAGCTCTTGATGTAATTTGTTCATCAGTTTCAAGTGTGCACAAAAATGGGCCATAATATGTAGCTGGCTGGAGTCCCAGAAAATCTGGCAATAATGTTTAAGAATCCCATTCCATTTCTTATTAATCTCTCAAGACCAAAGAAGATCTGTAAATCCTGCCCAGAAATGTTGCTGCTGCCCAACCAGGTCCATTTGCTCACTGCCCAAGAGGGAGCCAGTATTCTGAGACAGCAGGATTTACGGCAGCAAAAGGGTTTATTCTGCATGGCACTAAGGAGGGAGACAGGAGATATTTCTCAAATCTGTCCCCCTTAGAATTTGGGAGACAGGGTTTTAAAGACAGTTTGGTATAGGCAATTGAATGTGCTAATTGGCTGGGTTCTGGGAGGAACCAGAGGGATGTAGAAATTGTCTTCTTTGCCAACCAGGTTCTTTGGTGGGGTCACAAGACCTGTTGAATCAGTTCCTTGGTATGGGCCACTGCCCTGGGTGGCTCAGCTGTTCCACTGGAAAATGGGACCTGGGAGATGTCTCAGAAACTACTCCTAGGTTTCGAAAAGGTGACATTATCTATGGAGAAAGCTAAGAATCTTTATGACCACAAGCTATGTGGCTCCAGAGTGGCAGTTATACAGCAGTAAACAGGGGGACAGTGGCTAATTATTGTTATTATTTTTAGCTATGTCCTTACCACTGTTCTCGCCTTGCACCCCTTTTTATTAATTTGTAAGGGCAGTTTCAATGTCAGGAGTTTGAACTGTGTTTTGATGGTGGCAACTGCCTTAGAGGCTTTTAATTAGCTACCTTGCATCTGTATTTAGGATGTTTATTTTACTGTGGAAAGATTTTCAGAAACAAGCAAGGGAAAGAGCCAGATCATTCATTTACAGACACATATAACCAAAACAAAATCAGTATGTTTGCAGAAATTTGAACTCAGGTACACAGATAAAATAAAATATTAAATTAAGCATGCAGAACCAAAAGTGAATTCACCAGAAAAGACAAAACTCACAGACAGGGTATAAATTCTGTACAACCAAAGTAATCAACCCAGAAAGACACTTGTCTCTATACCAGAAAGGCCTTACCAGAAAACACAAAAAAATTTATCATCCCAGGAGGGATGTGGAGTCTTTTATTTAAAGTGCCCTTAACCAAATCAGATCCTAAATAAAGTCAAGCACTTCTACCAAAAAGAGGGAGGTTCAGCCTAAGAGAAGACTCACTAGGAAAGAAAAGGCATGCCATGGAAGAAGAGAGCTCACAGGACTCAAGTGAATACTGCACACCAGTTCCATCTGAAAGTAATCTTACTCCACTTCCCATTCCCAGAAACTATTTATGTCAACCTAAATAGCAAACAGAGAGTCTCTCTAAAAGAATGATGTTTGGCTGGGCATGGTGGTTCACACCTGTCATCCTAGCACTCTGGGAGGTGGAGGTGAGAGGAGCACGTGAGGTCAGGAATTCAAGACCAGCCCGAGCAAGAGCAAGACTCTGTCTCTGCTAAAAATAGAAAAAAAGTTAGCTGGGTATGGTGGTCACCACCTGTAGTTCCAGCTGCTTGGGAGGCTAAGGCAGGAGAGTTGTCTCAGCCCAGAGTTTGAGGCCTCAATGAGATATGATGATGGCACTGCACCAGGGCTACAGATGGGGACTCTGTCTCAAAAAAAAAAAAAAGAAAGAAAGAAAGGAAGAAAGAAAGAAAGAAAGAAAGAAAGAAAGAAAGAAAGAAAGAAAGAAAGAAAGAAAGAAAGGAAAAGCAAGCATTTATTCAGGAAAAAAAAAAAAACATTGCAATGGCAATACACATGCCATAGTAAACTATGTGCATATTCAGAAAGGAAAAGGAAGATAAATGTTTTCAAAGGAAAAATGGAAAATTACTTAATTGTTTTGAAATCATTGCCCTTGAATAAAAAGAGAAATAACAAGGTGATGGCAGTCCAAGTTTAGAATGCCAGTTGCTGGGGAGGTGTCATTGTCAGTGTCTTCTGCCTCCCTGAGATGACAGTCCTGGGGTTGCTGAGGCCAACGCTCCCTCCAGAAAGGGTGTCCAGACCCTTCCTCTGTGGGTCTGTGGGGGTGCTGGCTCCTCATCCTGGAGATCACCAGTCTTTACCTCCATACGTGGGCCACCACCAAGGTCTCACACAGGAGCCCATGTGCAGTCCTGGGTGCCTTTGCAAACAAACACTCTGCTCCTGACTGGTGGCTTAGAAAAACAAGCTTATTTTTCAAAAAATCGAAAACAAATTTTAAACCTGTTTTAACTATTAGGAAAGGGTTGCCTGTGAATGTCCCTGGACAGTTGGCCCACCGATGGACATCCCCTACCCACTGCTGAGACAGCAGAGCTACCTTCCCTGCCCTCTGACCCAAGCCCTGGGGTGCAGGGCAGGGAGGACCTCACCTCTGTCCTGCACTTGTGCTCTGGGGTCAGTAGGCACAGAGCTGCGTGGCCGGCCTCTGGGAAACACAAACTGTAGCTACTCGGGCCTTGGGAAGCCCAGGTCATGAAGAAAGCCAGGGAAAGGACCTTCCTTCCAGAATCTCAGCTGTCAGGACTCCTAGGGCCCTCCCAGGCCATTTATTCCCCAATAGGGGAAGCCTGGGACCTGGGGGCTGAGCCCAGTGGAGGAGCTGGGAGCAAAGCCAGAAGGGGGCGCTGTTCGGCCCTGGCCTCTTTCACAGGCCAGCAGTCAGCAAAGGGTGTGGGCTCAGGAGGGACAAGGCTTCACCTCTACAGGTCATGGGATCTCCTGAGCCGCCTCAGCTCCCACGAGAATACATAAATACCATAAAAATTGGAAAATGAAAACACACATAAAAACCTCTATTCCCTCCTCAGCTTCCCCATCTCAATAAATGGCATCCCCACCTACCTGGTCACTCTAGTCAGAAACCTGAATGCCATCCTGGGTTCCCCTTAGCTTCCTGGGCACATGCAGTCCCCTGCAAGTCCTGCTGCCTGTGTGTACAGGATATACCCTGATCTGTCCAGCCCCCGACAGACTCATTGCACAGGAACAAAACCCCAAGTCACTCCCAGGGCCTACCAGCCCAGCCGCCTCTCCTGGGCCACCTCTTTCCTTCCTCGACAAGCTCAGTTAGTCAGCGCCCCAGGGCCTTGGCACGTGCCACTGTCACAGCCCAGAACACTCTTCCTTCAGATCTTCCCCAGCTGGCTCCTCATCCTGTGGTCTCAGCTCAAACGTCACCTCCTCAGTGAGAATTTATTTTTCATGGAAATTTTGAACGGTATAAAAAGGAGTAAGAATTCTGTAATGAACTTGAAGCACCTGTCACCTACTTTCAGTCATTATTAACCCACACCATCTGGTTTCCCTGGTACCCTCACCACAGAGTATTTTGAAGCAAATCACTGTCATCATATCATTTCACGTGTAAATATTTCAGTTTCTCTGAAACAGAAATTGTGTCTCCAAAACATAGAAGAGTTCACCTGGAAGCACCTGCCCCTCCCCTCCGCTCCCTCTGTCCGCTGCGCAGGCACAGCACTTGGCACCCTCTGCCGTGGGTTTTGCTCACTGTTTTTATTTTCTTGTCTGTCTCCCCTGCAGTCCCTAAAAGGTAAGTCCCTTGAGAGCAGGGACTCTGCCTGCCTCGCCCCTGTCAAACCCCAAGCTCTGCACAGGGCGGGGCGTCCTGGGTGCTCGGCAGGGTCTCAGCACAGAGGACGGCAGAGAGGAGAGGCCGGGACAGCCCAAAGTGTCAGCTCTGCCTGCCGGGGGCAGGCGGGGGAGGGGCACGGCGGGTGGACGTGTGCGTTGACATCCTTCTCATGTCATTTCCTTCTAGATGAAAAACCAATCAGAATGGATGAGACTTCCATCACTTGCCCTGGACCAAAGATAACAAATCCTGGAAAGTGAGTGCCCCTGGTTGGGGACCTAGCGGGCAGGGGATCACAAGGTTAGCATTTGCCACCATGATGTGTACAGAATGTGGGATGCCCCCTCTGCTGGGGCAGCACATGTCTCTTTGTGGGTGGGTTAATGGCACCCTCCTCACCTGTCCTTGTTGGTGGCCCCCAAGGTGTTCAGGGATATGTGGTGGCCCAGAGGCTACTGAGGAAGGCAGGATGCAGGGTACAATATGCTTGAAGAATGGTACCTTTGCTCCAAGTCACTTTTTGATCTAAGCCAGCACACAGTATAAATACAGAAAGGTTGGGATAGTGACACCAAGCAGCCCTCCCTGGTCACATAGCCCATGTTCACCATGGCACCAGACCCCATGCAGGGCTTCTCCCTGCCTGACCCATACACCCTTGGCCTTCAGTGCTGAGGTTGATCTCACTGTGCTTGGGGACTATGACTCTCTGGGGGCCTGAATGCTGGATGTTCAGTGTCATTACCATGAGAAAAGCTGTGGGTGATGGTTTGAGCCAAGGGCGAGAACTGCATCTCTCTGGGCTGGTTTTCACTGTCTGCCCTTTCTGTGCATCAGAAAGGTCTCTGTTAAAGTCAGCCTAGACAATGGCGGCAAATTCTACTCGGCTGAGAAGGACAGCTTCACCACCACTGACTGTGTGAGTAATGGAGTGGGCCAGACACCTACAGGGAATGTCTAGAGGTGTTGTACTGGAAGGAGATCATTCTGGGGAGGCTAAAAGGACAAATGGTTTCTAGGTGTTCTCAGAGAGTAGCTTGAGCACATAGGCCCCTGGGGCGGCTCCATCCTGGCTTCCACCTGGAGCAGGAGTGGGGCTGGGAGGCTGGCTGCTAGGAGCCAGAGTCCAGGACCTCTAGGGCACCTGGGCCTCCACGGGGCGCCCCAGGCACAGGGCATCCGGAGGAATCCACCAGTTGCAGACAGGGTGTGTGTGACTGAGTCAGTGCCCCGACTACCAACCTGGCCCTAAGCCCACTCATGACCCCTGGGCCCCAAACGTGCCTGGTGAACACCTGTTGACCACCTGCTGTCACTATGCAGGGGCCCCAATTCCTTTCTGCCTCTCCTGCTTTCTCAGGCTCCTGAGGCATCCCTCTGCTCACCCTGTGACCCCTGCAGTGTGTGTGTCCCCTGCCTTGGAGGGAAAGCTGTGAGGGGTGTGGGCCGGGCTCAGCTCAGGAAGGGACTCCTGGGGACGAAGGTGCTGCTCCCAGGTGCCTGCTTGTCAGAGCTGCATGTGACTTGTGTGCCTGGCTCAGGGCAGCATGACAGGAGGACGTGCCGGGGGCGGGGAGGGGGGCCTGAGCCTACTTGCACCGCCCCGTGCCCAGTCCCGGCTGGTGAGGACCCAGCAGAGCTGACAGTCCTCCCTCTGGGTCTGCCTTCACTTGTCCCTGCACATCACGCACGATCAGCAGTCGGAGCACACATGGGCCATGGGGAGTCCAGCCGCTGGCAGCCCGCGACACCAGGCACATGTAGGCAGGACCTGGGGAGCAGCCCTGGGGCTCCAGCCCAGCCAGGGGCCCTGCCCTCAGCCTGAGGGGCCTCTCCTTCAGCAGCCTGTGCCGGCACAGGCTGTCTCCCCTCTCTCCTTGGACTCAGGGGAGGACTGGGCAGCCTGTGTTCCCACGGTGCAGCCCACGCTCCCTTTATTGGGAAGAACACTCAGGATGAAAGTTCCTGTTGCAGTTCCCCCACAGGGACCAGGCCCGAGTTAGGACTCTCTGGCCTCTCTACACCTCACACCGGGGGCGCTCCTTCCGTTTGTACGGTGTGGACACTGAGGCCAGAGCCCAAGTCGTGTGCCCAAGGCGGCAGAGCCGGCTGTGGGGAGAGAGGCTCTGGGGCCATGCATGGGTCGGCTGCCCCTGCTCACGGCCTGCACCTCTCCTGGGCCTCAGCACGCGCCCCTCACCTGTCTGTGCACTGTAGGTCCTGCGGGCCTCACCCCAGCCCTGTGCTGACAGCCGAGCTGTGCAGCGAGGGCGGCTTTGTCAGACCAGGGAATGTCCCGGGCCTTCTGGGCAGAGCCTTTGAGCAGAGCCAGAGGTGGGGCCTGCAGGTCTCTGGGGACCAGCCCAGCTCCTGCCCCACTGTGGCCCCTTGAGGTGGGGCTGCCTGGGGCCAAGGGAGTGAGGGCAGCTGGTAGGGAAGAGGCCACCCAGGCCTCCCCAGCTGCTGACATTTGCCTTATCCGCTGGACCATCGGGGATGTTCCCCTCCCCCAGAACTTCGAAAACTGGTACTGGCTCATACCCGCCCTGCTGTTGCCACTGCTGCTCTGGTTTCTCTGCCGTCTGTGCTTCAGGAAGGTAAGTGCTCCCTGCCACCCGGCCCTGGGGCCCCCAAACAGGCCCAGCCTCTGAGGAACAAGAACGCGTGACGGCCCCACAATCCTGCCTTTGGGCAGGTTCCCTTTGGCTCCGAGGTCATCACGTGAGCCAGGGGAGGGCAGTTTCGGTCCCTGCATTAGCAGGCCATGGAGAGCCTGGGCTTCCACCACGCCTCAGCCCCGGCTTGCCACAGATAGTGGCCTGGGACGCCCTGGACATGGGGCCAGGACCTGTCCTGGTCCTGAGAGAAGTGACCCCAGCCCCTGGAACAGGGCTGCCTCACACAAGCCCGTCTTCTGGAAGCCCCAGGTGGAACGGGCCAGGAGGGGGCTCCATGTTGAGGGAGGGTGGGAGGGGCGTGAAGCACTGATGGCTCCAAGTGCAGGACGGGGCTGACCAGGGAGGGACGGAAACTTCTGGTCCGGCTGTGCCTTAAAACCCAGCGTGGATCTTGGCCCATTTCTAGTGACTTCCCCACGCCTCCCTCTGTCCTTACTAAGTGCCAGCTCCTCCTGGACCCCATGCAGGGCTGGGGAGGGACAGAAATGAAGCCCCCACCATTGTCACCTGCAGGGGCTCACAGTCCTGCCTCTGGTCTAACCCCAGGGTGAAACGTCCACCATCGTATGATGTGGCCCGTGCCCCACGTGAAGCAGAGCCTGAGCAAAACGGCAGACCCTCGCCCGGGGTTGGCGGGGAGGCAGAGGCACTGGGAGCTGGGGTGGACAGGACCCACCCAGAGAGCTGGAGAAGACAGGGGACAGAGCACAGGGAGGGAGGGACAGGGCACGGCCACAGAGACCAAGTGGGTTTGATCTCTGCAGGGGAGCAGCAAGGAGAGAAACTGCAGGGACCAGGAGAGGGACAGTCCCTGAGGGCTGGGAGGTCAGGGACAGAGAAGTTCTCCCAGGGGAAGGGCAGTGGGCCCTGTGTCCTCCCCCCCATGTGGGCTCTGGGCTCATGAGGGGCACGTCCTGGGCTGGGTCTCTCCAGGGCCCGGGCCCATAACCTGGCTGATACCGGAGGACGCCAGGGCAGGGGTGCAGGGACTCCCCTGGGGTAAGGTGGGGCCTGCTGGCCGCAGCGCCACAGGCTCGGGCCCCCGACTGACACCCGCAGTCTGGCGCCTGTCCTGCTGCTCCAGAGCAGGGTCCCGTCTGTGTGCAGGGACCAGACAGAGCCCCCCCCCCATCTCACATCTTTCTCTTTTGAACATTCTAGAAGAAGGACCAACCTGTGCAGACACCAGAACAGGTAAGTCGTGGTTCTGGTCTTGACATTGTCGCATGAGGGGGGGCTGCCCTTCACGAGGAGGCTCCGTGAAGCCTGTGTCCCTGAGCTCCCACCTTCCTGGGCAAAGGAGAGGGCTGCAGAGGGGCAGGGAGTGGCCAGGGGATGGCGTGGGACTCACTGTGATGTCACCCAGACAAGGCCCTTCCGCTCCCAGCACCGCCTGTCATGAGCCTCTGTCAGGGAAAGTGCAGCCTGGGCCCCAGGTTCCGCAACTTCGGGGTCCCTGCTGCGATGCGTGGAACTCTAGTGTGGTCCCCAAAGGGCTGTGGTGGGATGTGAGGACCCAGGTGAGCTCTGAGAAGGAGCCTCCAGTTTGGGGACCTGGTCCCAGCCCAGGCTCTGCATGGAGGCTTGGCTCCGTGAGATGCGTCTGGTCCCCGTCTCCCGGCAGGGCCGAGCGCTGGCTGGGCTCAGCCTCCAGGGACTGCAGGGCTGAGGGGGTGGGAGGGACGCCAGCCCCAGTGAGCACAGGGACCAAGGGCAGGAGCCGGCTGTGGCTCACCCGGGCTGGGGACCCGAGGGCCGTGAGTGGCCGTGGAGGGTGGCTGAGGCAGGAGGCCCTGGCCGGGCTGCGGTGGAAACAGCCTGGCTGTCTCTGCCTCTGCGCGGGCAGCGTGGGCCTGGGGACGCTGTGGCCGCAGGGGCAGAGCAGAGGGCGTGGGCAGGGACGGCCACTCAGCCTCCAGGACAGGCTTCTGCCAACGTGAGTGGCTGAGGAAGCAGGGAGGGCACAGGCCGAGCCGTTGGCGTTTAGGGGAAGAGCCGTGTGCGCAGCCCTGAGCAGTGTGCGCGTTTCTCCCACGGAGGACGCTGCCCGTGCTGGGTGCCCCTCACTGGTGCTTTCATTCAGTGACCAGTGTCTGCTGAGGAGCCAGCCCTGTGCCAGGTGCTGCGGCCACAGACCCCACGTCCCTGCTGCCCAGAGTCTGCCAGGCAAGGAGGCAGACAGCTGTTTTTCTCCTGACAGCCTCCACCACCGCCTCCTGTAACTGTGTGTCCCACAGTGATTGTTTGCTGCCATGGGTGCCACAGAGGGTGCAGAATGTGCGGAAGGCTGGAGGTGAGAAGGGCCCAAGTGGGGAGGAGCTGGCGGAGGGGGGCAGCCGGCTCACATTACAGAGCCCGGCCCTGGAGGCAGCGTGGCTCTGTGGGTGCTGGACGTGGCCTCTTGGTGCTGAGGGAAAACCAGGGAACCAGCCCGCCCTAGTGGGCAACAAGAATGAGGGCTCCTGTCCCCCAGCCCCAGGCCTGTCCAGCACCTGGGGTTCCCCCTTTGGAAGCATCCAGGATTCTGGACAGTGGCAGATGGTGACACTGGCCAGTCCGTGGTTCTCACAGAAGTCACAGTCAGCTTGGGCAGTGGCTTGGGTTTCCAACCACCTGCCTGTGGGTGCCTGAGTCCAACAAACTGAGTCACAAAGAGTCTTGCAGAGGTCAGGGAAAAAATAGAAACAAGCAGTCCTGAACCAGATTCTTACCCCCGTGGAAGCTCTCCAGAAAGGACAGTGGCACCTGCTTGGCCTGGCAGCAAGCCATTCACGTAGAGTGAGGAAAGTGCTCACGGAATGGGCCTCGTCACCTGCTGAGATGGGGTGTCAAGGGCTGCAGGGAGGAGGGTGGAGATGGAGACACAGGGCCTCACAGGCAACTGGGCAGGAGTCTGAGCCCTGGGACCCAGACAACGGCAATTCACCCTGAGGAACCCTCCTTGCCCAGGAAGTCCCGTGGCCTCCTTAGGGGACGGGGAACAAGCCAGGCAGCAGCCATGAGGCCCCGGGACAGGGAGGGAGAGGCCCCTGGGGGGCTGGTGGTGAGGGGGTGAGAACTCCAGACGTCCAGCCTGGCTTTGCCCTCCTCCTTCCCGGGCCGGGCTCTGACCCTGGTCCCATCTACCGCTTCCTGCTGGGAGCCTCCAGCTCCTCGGCCACCCCAGAGGGCAGCAGGGAGGCCAGGCCTGCCTCTCCCCTGAGTGTGCAGCACAGAGAAGCCAAAGCATGCCCTCCAGTGGGAGGAAGTCACCTGCCAGAGGCTTGTTCCTGCTTGTAGGGCACTAGCCCTCCCCCAGCCCCTCCAGGGCCCAGGAAGGCCACACTGCAGAGCCCTGGGCCCGCGCTGCTGCTCATGGCTGCAGGGCTGCTCTCCGCCTGGACTCTGCCGCCTCTTCTCTCTGCCCTGATCTCGGGCACCCGGCCCCCTAAGCAGGGCACAGTCCTTGCATCCGCCTTCCCTCCCTTGCTCCTAATGCAGCCTCCTTCCCCCACCCCGAGTTCCTGCCAGGGCCCATGCCCAGTGCCCTGCACCACCTCTGCTGGGCCTCCACCGGTCCCTCCACACTTTGGACTTTCCCTCTAGATCTGCCCCTGGCTTCTCCTCCCCGTACACCAAAAATACGGTGTTGTGCCAGATTGCAAACCTCACTGTGACCCTCAGTGACCATCCCTCAGCACACCGGGCCCCAGGGCCCCTCCCCAGGGGGAGCCAGGAGCTTTGTCTTCTGGGGACAGAGCTGTGGGGAGTGGGGTCCTGACGCCTCTGGGGCAGCGTCCAGGCCGCCTGGCTTCCTCATGGCCACATTGCTTTTCAGGACAATCTGGGCACCATGTGCGGCCTCGCTCAGCCCAGCTACAACGAGATGCCACCGATGTGGTGTCCACACAGGGTCCAGGTGAGCCGGGCACAGGGACCCTCCCAATGGGCAGGAGGCCACTTCGTTTGCCCTTGACAGTGGCCCTCTGGGACTGTGGCTCAGAGAGCTGTGTCAGGGCACCTGCCAGGCAGGAACGCCCAGGACAGGGGGAAACGGTGCCCGTGGGTCCCCCGACTGTTTCTGGGTGAGACACGCTGCATTTCCTTTGCTGGTCCCTGGGTGCGGGGAGTGCTGGTGGGTGTGGTTGACGGTGCAGTCTGGGCAGCACTGACCGGTTCTAGAAGTGGTAAAGCGTCCCTCCTTGTGTCATCGCCTTGGGGCCATGGGGAGAACCGAGATTGTTACTGTACTTCTCCCGTGACCTAAAGTCAATGAGGACTGATAGTGAGGGCTGCCCCGCGGGCCAGTTGCTAGCCTAGGAGCCTTCCCTGTGTTCACTGCTTTATCCTCCCAGTGACTATATGCGCAGGTGCTACTGTTTATTGCCCCAGTTTGCTGAGAGGAACTGAGCACAGAGCGGTTGAGTGGCGTGTCCCAGGTCCGAAAGTCCAGGAGTTCTAGAGCTGGAGGTGATGCCATGCCTGGCCCACCCTGCAGACTGCCTTGCCCCTCTTTCAGATCCACATTCCTGACCTCATGGTGGTTACCCCAATTCCCCCCAGGGCTGCCCTGCTCAGGCCTAGGGCTCCAGACAGTTCTGCTGCTGGCCCAGCCTGGGGCTCACCTGCCTGGGCTTCCCACAGTCCCGCACAGACTGGGCCTGGAGGAGGGTCTGATCCCCAGGGTCTGCAATGAGTCCCACACTGGCCATATTCCCTAAATCAGGCCCACACAGGTTCTTGGTGGCCAGGTGGGTGGGCACTTGCAAGGCCTGTGCAGGCCAGAAGCTTCTGGAGTGCTGCTGTGGAGAGTCGGGCTGGCAGACATGGAGGCATGGCCGGTGTCGGGGGCACACAGGGCTCCTCTAGCAGCGGGGCCTGGCTCTGTCCGTCTGACCAGGGCTCCTGGTCCTGGCCGTGCTTGTGTGGAAGCCCGTTGTCCATCTGATTTCTTGTGGTGCCTCTGCATGTCGCCACAGCCCAAGTGCAGCAGGCCCAGCCCTCTGCACTGGACAGACCACACGCCCGGCCAGAGAAGCCCTCCCAGGGTGGAGGCATGGAGCAAGCCTGAGGGCTGTGACAGTGGGCACCCCTCATTTCAAGTGCAGGAAGGAAGGCGGGAGGGAGGAGAAGGGGGACCAGTCGGAGGAGGCCTCACTGCGCAGCATGGGGAGGGCGGGAATCAAGTGACCCTGACATTGTCCATTCCTGAGGGCAGCTCTTTGAAGATAAGGTGTTGGGGAGCGTGGCAGAGTGATTGCCTTATGGAGGGCACTTTCCAGGGCTCTGCCAGGCCCTTGCCACCACCATCGCGTCAAGTCCACCTGTGGTTCTGTCAGCCAGAGTGACCATCCTCTTTTACTGATGGCAAAACAGAGGCCCAGAGAGGTCCAGGAAGTTACCTGAGGGCACCCAGAGAGTAAGGGGCAGCATCCAGGGCTATTTGAAGTTAACCCCAGCTCTTTCCTGAACCGAGGGGGGCCCACCCTCTGCTTTGTAGACCTTGGCTCCCTTCTAGCTACTCTTGTCCCATCTAATTTGACCTTGTCCCCCCAACCATGAAAACCTTGCTGAGTGTCTTGTAAGACTTCTGTTGGGTCCCCAAATACTCAGATGTGGGGAGGAGGTCCAGGTCTCTCCTCTGTAAGCCTTCAGTGTATGGATTCCAGGGTCTAAGGTGAGCCAAGCAATAAAGAGGATGGGTGTCTGCGGGGACGTGCAGCCCCTGCAGAGCACAGGGTCAGCCAGCAGCCCCAGTCCTGGGGGTGCAGTGCCAGACACCGGCCCAGGCTACTTGGCAAGCTCAGCTAACAGGTTACATAACTCGCCTGCAACCGCACAGCCAGGAAGCAACTGGGCCAGCGTCAGAGAGCCTGGCTCCATGTCCTTACCATGTACGTGGCCACCTCTTTGTCCTTTGAGGAGGTCACTACTCTGCATTTCACAGCTGTGGAAACAGAGGCTTTGACATTTAGTCGTGGGCCATAAATGGGAGGGCTGTCGAATGATAGAGCTAGGCCATCAACTGACCCCGGGAGAGGCTCACCTCTGAGTCTAGGCTCTGCCCCCCATGTCATGCTGCCAGGGTGATCTATGGAGCCATCTGAAAAGCCTGTCTTTTGACAGTGCAAAATATGGTACAGCAGGTCCTCGAATGATGTTATTTCATTCAATGTTATTTCCTTATATTAGCCAAAAAAAAAAAAAAATTATTCCCAGCCCCAGCCACTCTCTGCACTCTCTTGCATGTTCTCCCCACGACTGCTCAGGCTTTCTTCCCAGTCCTCTGGTTTCCTCCTACATCCCAAAGATGTGCACATTAGGTGACCTGGCGTGTCTGCACGGTCTCAGGCTGAGTGAGGGTGGTGTGTGTGAGAGCACCCTGCTGTGGGGTGGCGTCCCGTCTGGGTGGGCTCCTGCCTTGCACCCTGAGCTGCCGGGATGGGCTCCAGCCGCCAGAGGCCCTGAACTGGAATGATTATTAATAGGTAAATGATTATCTTACTTGTTTTTATTAATCTTTCTTAAATGTATGTACAACTCACATTTACTTCAATGTTTAAGATTAGAAGCATTTTGGTCTTTATTTAGAAGTTAAGTGATGTCTCTGTGACCAGAAATATGCCACAGTAACTTGACTCTTATTTCTATCAATTGGCTTATGGAAAAATTAGTTTCCTTATACATCATTTCACTTAAAGTCACAGTTTCCAAGAACCTATGGATGACTCTTAGTGAGGACTTACTGTATATGCACAACAATTGTGGATATTAATATCTTGATGTTCATGCTGTGTCACTTGCAGATCTCCTTCTAAATTTAAACTCATGTATGTTTGCTGAGAAACGGTTGTTCTAGGTAACAGCAGAGCTGGATACACATGGCCTCAGGATGTGTTCATGACCAAGGGGCTCCACAGTTCTTTTCTGAGCCTACCCTTGGAGGGAGCACCACCAAGAGGCAGAGGCAGTGGAGCTGGGTGGGTAGCCCCAAGTGTCTAGGAGTCCTAACTAGCAGCTTCAAGCCAGTGCTCTTTGGGGAAGTCTTAGACCATAGCTTTGATATTGTGATAGTAGCTGTCTCCCCCTGGACTCCTCAACACCCCCCTTTGCCCCAACACATACTTACACTTGCCCACAATGTAATTAAGAAATCCAGAAATAGAGCCCGAACTCCAAAGCACTGGCAATTAAGGCTTTTGAGCAATCATTTGCCAGTCACTTCAGGAAAGGCCCGGCCACTGTGGAGGGTTGAGCTGATGTGAGAAATGGTTGCTGGCTTAGATCTCTGCAATGGATAGAAAGGCAGCAAGGAAGGAGACCCCTTCTGCCTTCAGGGGACCTCCCTCACCCCCTCACACTTACCCTAGGACTCGGGGTCCGCAGGCAGACTAGGAGGTCTCCTCTACTGTGGGGTGCCCCCAACCCCTCCCCATCACTGCAAGTGCAGATCCAACCCTCAGAGTTCCCTGCAGCTCTGGGCGATGGCTGGGGCAGGGGAGCAGATGTGGCCTTGGCGCCAGTGCCCTGGGTCCTGCTCTGGAGGAAACCAAAGGGACCCACAGCAGCAGGTCTGGAGTGATTGTGCCCATTCTGCAGTGAGTAAGTAGAGACATAGGAGATAAAAATAAACATAAAAGATTCTATTCTCTTCACAATGGCAACAAAAAACCAAAATACTCATGCATAAGTGTAACAGAAACATGCTGACCTATGATGAAAAGAAATCACAAAACTTTACTTGTTGGTATAAGAGATTTGAAAATATAAAATCCTGGACCACAATGTCAGCTTTTCCCAGAGGAATTCATGAACTTAATGTTACTTTGGTGAAAATTGTAATGAAATATTTTTAAGGATTTTGATCAAAATGATTTTGAAGTTCACCTGAACAAATAAACAGTTAAGAATAGTTAAGGAATTTTTGAAAAAGAAAAACACTGAAAGAATATTTGCCTTGCATTAAACTCCAGCAATTCAAATAATGGCAAATCAACCAAACACTATCTGGAATAAATAGATTCAAGCGATAACACCGTAGTGGTGATGATGTACATGCGTGTGTGCTCAGGTGTACTTATGTATGTTTAATGATTAATGTATGTTAAAAGAAAAACTTTAGACAAGTTAAATTTAACAGAGTTTAATTGAGCAAGATAAAAGCAAAATATGATTCAGGAATAGGGCAGCCCCAGCATCAGAACAGATTCAGAGAGACCCTGGGGCTGACACATGGTTGGATAAGATTTCTGCACAAGAAAAGGAAAGTGACATATGGAGAACAGAAGTGAGGTACAGAAACAGCTCTCGGGGTTTGCCTTGTTCAAGCAGGTTTGGACAGCTTGAGTTCAAACCTTTGACTGCCTGCCTGTGAGTGGTTGAAACCTGGCTGATGCGTAGCTGGGGCTCAGACGCTTTCCAGAAGCACACTCCTAAGCCAGGTTTTCAGTTCGTTTGTGTGCTAAGGTAGGCTATGGTTCATATGTGAACACTCAAGCGTGTGAGTACAGAGGCTTTCCCAGGCCAAATTTCAGTTTAACAATTTCACCCTTTTGATCAGCCTCTAATTTTGTTGATTCCATTCTCTGTCCCTGTCATAAATAAGTTATTTGGTCTCAGGATGGAATTCACAAGTCATGAGGTTGCACCAGTTGAATCCTTTTCTATGTTCTAGTAATGAACCCATGGGGGGGTCACTGTTGCTGGCTGCACAGAAAGTCAATTAGAGAGTCAAGGAGGGCTGTCATGGAAGAAAGGCTCTATTGCAGGAGATGTGCCCACGTGGAGGCGGGGGAGGTATAAACTGCCTCAAATCCGCCTCCCCAGTCGACAGGGTCAGGGGTATTTCTGGAGGTGAAATGAACAATGCACGAGGGGAGTGAGCATCATTATGTGTTTGGGGCGGAGTGCAGGGCATGC